ACCAAAATTATGAAAGATGTAGAACCTTCAATTCTTCTTTTCAGTTTTATGTCCATTGTCCATTTATTCTATGGTTATTTTGTTTTCTTACTTTTAATTTAACCAGAATTTCCATCCTGACCTCAAAACCCTTTTGTAGCAAACTCCAAATAATAAAGCACCTTTTACTATAAAATGTTCACATTAATCGAAGACAGGAAGCTAAAAAACAGATCAGATCCATAACAGTTCCTTTACAAAGAAACTGCACCTTCACCATATTAAAAACATAAACACTGATTTCTTCATGAAAAGTGTATTTGTATTAAAATAATTAATATTTGAGTTATTGCATATCCTTTTTAGGAAAAACAGTCTTTAATACCATGTGAGATTCATTGGCATAGATAGGTCCTTGAACTGCTTCAGGTCAGTCAGTTTTGTGTGTGAGCATGATGTGAAACTGAGCGTTTTGCCACCGGAGGTCTGATTGGTTTCTGTGCTTGGGGAAATCACTAGCTACACTATATCAGTTATGAAATAAGTGTGTAAATGAGCAGGAATTTTCCTTTTCCTTACAAGAGAGGTTGAAATTATAATTTAGCATACACTGGAGCACTCTTAGCCTGCCCCAAAGAGTCCTATTTGCAAGTAAGGTTACAAACCATAAAATAGCATTTTATTATGATTTCTGTTTGGAATTCAAATTACTTTGGTTAATATTAGTTAGACCAAATAATAATTTTCTAAGATTACATGCATTACATGCATAAATACAAAAGTAAAAAGTAAAATCCAAATATAACTTCAGTTATATATACTATATTGTAGATAACTTCAGTTGGTTTTGTACATTTTAATTCTGCACCGAGTTTTGTGTCTTCTTGTGATATTTGGCTTTACTGCTTTTATATTGACTTGGTTTAACAGACTGGCTTATATGTTAGAGTGATTTAGGATGTTACATACTTTTTTATTTTTCTGTTTAGATCTCTCTTGTAAGTGAAAATACACTGTGTAATTTGCAGGACATATATTTGAGTTAACTACACAAAGCTGTATTTTAAAGTTTGAACATAACGTTGAAGTATAACATAGTTATGTGTTTATAACAGAATGTGAGGTGAAACTGCTGTTCACCTCAGTTATACTGGCTGTTCTGGGGACAGGTCATCTTATTGCTTCTTGGCAGTTGACCATGGTCTAAATAATCTAATATTCATAAGCTCATGGGAAGAAGCCTGATATGTATGAAGTTATCTTAATTAGTGGAGTTATCTAGAATGTGAGGCCTGGCTCCAACCTCTTGCAAAACAGAGCAAATCTAAAAGAAGAAATGAAAGATCCCCTTGCAATAGAGAGCATTCAGGACTTGGCACAGTCACCTGAAACATGGCACGGTGAGTGATGGGAACTTGGATAAGCCTTTTTCTTAGGAATTCTCAGTTTGCTCTGTGCAATTCAGTATGGTGTGGTGCTTGAAAGCCACCATGGTATCGGTTAACCAACAGCACTGCAAGGAGGTTTATCAGTTTTTATATGATCCCATAGTCTCTGTGATGAAGTTTCCAAAAACACGTATGTAAGAAAATTTGGAGCAGATTTGATCAGACAACCAAGCTTCTTCCCATTCATTTTTAATGCTTATTCATTTTGGAAAATAGCAACATAGGGACATGATGAGATCTCTTATATAATTGTCTTGGTTTCACACAAAATTTAAACCTATGTATTACAAGCAGAAAGGGAGATTTAAATCTTGTTCTTTCTGGTATCTTCCGTCTACAGTTTTACAAACAACTGACCTGTACAATCCAGTAGTAGATCATTTGGTGGAAACTAGTTTGCAGGTTTTGGAATACTAGGAACTAGTATGCAGAGAGCCATAGGTTGCTCAAAGTCTGTGGGAAGTGCATCCATTAATGGTTTTCTAGCTGTGTGTAGGTTTTGTTGTGTTTGGGGGTGTTAATCTGTTTACTATCTCTATTTCTACAAGCATTCAGTTCTTGTCCCTTCTTTTGTGTTGCAATGCACACAAAAAATAACATTTAAGAAAAATAAACATTTTGGTTTTTCTCCCTTGATATGTCCACAGTAGGGATGAATAATGGTGACACATTGTCCTCAGAAGGTTAATAGGATCAGAATACTGCATGAAACTGTATCAGAAAACACTGACTTACCATTAACTTTCTGTTCCAGCTGTATTGTAGTTAAAGCTTTGGACCCAAGCTTCAAGTATAAGTCTTATTGTTTTGGTCAAGGAAAAGGACTTTTGTCTGTAAACATTCCAAAAAACTTACGTGTGGCTGGCAAGCCAAGTATTCTGTCTGGCATTTGTGAGTTAAAAAAAGAACTGCTGTAGCTTTGTAGCTGGATTTCAAAATACAGATTCTGGAAAAGTGTATTGCAAATGTAATGTTACCCAAGCCTCTCTTAATGAGAATTTACATAAAGAATGACCCAGTGGAATTGCAGCACTATATAGTGCTGCTATTTGGGAGAATGGAATCATGTCTCAAGCCTAGAGCAATTTAAAAGTGAGGATTTGAAGCTTTTGGTCTCAGGGGGCTAAGTAAGTGCTTTTCAGTTTCTCAAGCCATTCACTGTTGACTGAAGTAGCCTTCTATAGATAGCTGCTAATAGAAAGACTAAAATTATTCAAATATGCCTAATAGTCTGAAACAATGTACTGTGTTTTATTTTCACTGTGCTTTTCTTTCAGTGAAGAAATAATCACAAGGTGAATGCATTTTTACAGGACAATTATACATATAAAAAATAATATAATATGAAAAGCAACATCTTACACCTGAAACATTCAGGGTTCCTAGGTCATGGCTAACTCAAGTACTAGGTAGGTCTGTTAGCACTTACCTCCTGAGAGCTTCCTGTCCCTGATGTTAGTCATATTTAACCTGCCATATCTGTGGTCATATGTATAAACAGACTGAAATATATACTAGAGTGAGAGAATGTTCTCCCAGCTATCCAAGGTGCCCAGATGAAGAGATATATTACCATGGAGTCCCTCTATAGTCATTAAGGATTGATGCACACATCTGGAGAATGGTAGTGATTTTAGAGGAATCATATTCTGTAAGTCATGCATGGTTTTGTTGGCAGCGCACAAAATCTGCAGTTTCTTTTAAATCCACAGTTGTATGCTTGAAGTTTGATGCTTAACTTTAGGTTTAATATTATTTCCAATACTGTTCCTACTTACTGTCAGTATATGAAACAATTGTTGCATTAACTGTATTAGGAGAAAATATAAAAATGAAGGGTAGTAGAAGATGTAAAACAGTATCTCAGAGTTGCTGCCTGGAATCTCAGCATGTAAGTTTCCATCTGTGTGTTTATATAATGTAAAACATGAAAAAGAAATATATGTGTACCAAAAATAAGCAAAAGAAATATCATTGACAAACTCATCTGGGAGACACAGAGAGAGAGTGAGAGATGGATATATACACACCAGACTACCCGGTGTGGAATCACTTGCTCAGTTAGCAGATTTCAGTGGTGCTAATTGCACTGGTCCTGCAGTACATCACCATCATTCTTGCTGAGAAATTTCTCCCCAGGCACAGTGAGGGTCAAAGTATGATATTGAGACATTTAATTTATACTTTCGTAGGTTACTTTTCTTTTTGTCTGGAAGTATAATCAGAATTTAAGTTAATTTTTCTAATGCCATGAACTGTTTAGAGGTAGATTTATGAAAATTGCAAGCTTTTTAAAATACAAGACTTGAGCGAAAGGGAGTTTTGTTACCTCAGAAAGCTTTGCAAGTTGTAAGTAATTGACCGCTTCTCCTCTGAAATAGGTTTATGGGAAAATATACATCCTTCTCCTCATATAAATGAAAAAACTGAGATAGAAATGGAGTGATTTCCTCAGGGCCATAAGCTGCAATTGGAATCAAAGTTATTACTGAGTAGTTTGTGGTTCCAGTCCAATACCTGGCTGTAACAATACTTACAGGGTCTCCCATGCCTGTCTGTCACTCCTAGAATTACTGGCCCTGGGAGCTATTTCTCTGTGAACGACGATCATAGTTTACAGCTTCACCTTATTCAGAAACAAGTTTCGTGGACGAGTTCTCTTTCTTTAATCTGTCCAAAGTTTCACTTCTAAATATAATTTGTGATTGAATGATTTAGTTCAGATTGTTTCTAGTGAAAATGCCGCTTCTGTAACTCATTCCATGAAATATTTCCATTTCTGTTAGGAAGTATCAAGTGTTTTGTACTTAGGAGAAAAAAATCTTCATTTCAATGAATATTACTGCTTCGTGCAATTGCATGCTGTAATACCTTTGATTTAGCCGACTTGCAAAGGTTGAAGGGAGGATCAGACTTTCATTACTTTCTGCTTCTGGTGAGGTTAAAAGTGATGCTTTTACCAAGGCTAAGGGAAAAAAGTTTTGATCCACAGAAACCAGGGTTCTGCACCTGACACCTTTCAATCTGTGTGAGTTCTGCTATCAGCTGGGACGTTAACAGGTTTTCCTGGGCTTCATTGGCTCCTGTGAACTGTCTAATCAACTCTTCACTGAGATGGTTAAGAAATGCAAATAGTATCTGGGCCTCATGTCTTCCTCAAGGCTTTCACGCAGAGCCACTTGTGATGGTCAAGAGACCCCTTTTGTACGTATCTCAACAGCTCAGCAGACAGAAGAACCTGTTGGCAGCTGGGCACCTGCTCTGGTGCGCAGGGCGCTGTGGTTCGGATGCAGGCCATGGGCCAGAGCAGGGGTGCTGCTGCACAACAGGGGATGTTTCCTGCGCTGTCTGCCCTGAGGCCGGAGATCCGCTGCCCCGGTACCAGCCTGCGCCTGCTCCCGCCCCTCAGGTCAGTGCGGTCCCTGGGGCTGGGGGTCACCAGAGACTTGCTGCCGCCTGGAACCTTCCAGAACAGCGCTCAGCACACGTGCACCGAGTGAGCGAGTCTGTGCCTGCGAGAGGGCTCCGGGAGGGCCTGACCCAACAAAATGGTGACTGGCTGCGCCCGTGTGAGGCAGCCCTGCCCTGGGCCTCAGTGGGGTCAGTGACTGACAGGAATAAAAGGGCTGTAACTGCAAGGACTGCAGCTCCCTGAGCGGGACAGCGTTGCTGGACCCACAGAATGGTGATCCTATTTCTCTGTTTTCTCCTTTCTTTCCTTTCCCTTTTCCTCACACTTCTATGGAAATTGAATAAGAACTTGCCAAGAATTTAGTTCCTCCTGACACAGTTTTAAGGAAGTTTACAATAAAATGAATTGTTGTTTAACCTCCCAAGGGCCTGCGGTTTCTCTGCCCAGCCTTATAAAAGATCACCTCTCCCTGCACCCTCTGGGCAAGATGGGGTACCACTAAAAAAGAGGTCAGATAAACTGCTTTGGAAACTTAAGACCTAATTCAGTGTCTCTTTTCTTTGGGCCATGCAAGAATTGAACTGCTTTGGTGCCCTAATTGTTGCTATATTTGAGAATGTAGAACTTAAAAAAGAGTCTGAAGATCTCTTAGCACAGCTGAGTTGAACTCACTAGAGCTTGCCTCTGGCAGGAGGAGGTTTATAGCTGCTTCTCAGCATATTTGAAAGAAGATTATTGCTGCTGACGCGTTGCAAAAAGGTAACATTTGTGTGCATCAGTGACTAAATTGCCCTCTATTATACCACATCCCATAAAATGACAAACCTCATCAATAAAAAAATGTAATAAAGAAAGTACTTGGGGATTTGTCTAGCTGTGGGGAGCTAGAAGTACTTAATAGTGTTGAATATCTGTATCCAGTGGCAGGTGGGAGGAGTTACTGCTTGTTATGGGAAAACTACTGATTGCGGATGACTTCTGGAAAGGTTTTCTTGTTTTCTAATATTCCAGGTAGAAAAAGGAGTTACAAGTGAAGGCTGGTGGTTGCCAGATGACCCTACAGGCTAAAATAGTTGGAAGAGCAAGTATACTGAAGAGATTAATATGACTCTGAAGTAGCATCTCTAGTTCACTGGCAGGTAAATTGTCTTGATGAAAGATAACAGCTTTAATTAATATTATTTTTTTCAATCTCCATAAAAGCAGTGTTGTTATTTATCTTCAACTGTGACAAAATGTTACCTTTATTTCAACCTAAGGTAAGAAAGGTACATAGCAATGTGGGTTCCCCTGACCCATGACTTCTCTGTTGTCTTATTTCTAGCAAGTACAAGGACAAGTACAGTTTTGTTTTTAAGTGGCATACCAAGAGTATGCACCAATATTTCTTTTTAAAAGTGTAAATCATATTACAGAATGCTGAAAATGAAAAGTACTAATATTAGATTCTGGTCATCAGTTTCATTTAAAGAGCATCTATAGGTCTTAAGTCTTAATCTTACAGATTATTAGACATACTCTTTTCATCATTGATAAGAGTAATCCTGTTTATTAAAGTGTCTATTCTTATGCCTGTAAAGGCAGTATTACATGTATAGTAACATCAGGAATTAAAGCTTTCTTAATGCTACATTTTAGCTTGCCACAGTGAAGTATTTTCTAAACTGTAGAATCTGTTTCTCTGAACAAGGCCAAGTACTTGCGCATTTTTGTTTTCATAACAATGTGGTACCCACCTATGGAAAATGACAGGTGTTTGGAAATTTCTTTTCTCTTGCCTTGACATAAAATGATATGAAAAGTAATAGAATTAAGGACAAAATATTTAGATGATAGTTTCATTTTTTAACAGCCATCTTTACATTTAGTGATTGACTATAAGGACATGAACTTCTTTTGAACATGCATCTAATGCGTTGAGAAGATGTCGCTTTGAAGTGGATAGGCTTCAAGGTACATGTTTTCTACCTTTCGTCTCTGTTAAAGCAAATTTAATATTTTACTCTTTAATTTTAGCCAAGGTTTGCCATCTATACTACAGCAGAACTGTGATATAAAGTAGAAAAGGCAACTAAAAGGGAAAATTTGGGAACTGAGCAAGACTGAAAAACAGAAAGAGTCCTGCATGTATTTAATTTGCTTTTTAGCTCTGGAGGTGATCTATTCCTGTGCATTTTGTATAAGCTATTTGTAATATCCTGGCCTCAATCAGTGAAGACTTAGAGGAGTGTTTAGAGCAGAGGCCTGCTGAACTAATGCTTACTCTGTCCACCATTTTAGGATTATGTTCTCCTCTTAATTTTGGCAGATGTTTCTTTGAACCAAGCAGGATCATACTACTGTTACTTCTAGCTTTTCTCCTCTGATGTGGGTTTTTCAAGGTTTAACAGTGAGTGAGTTACAAATTGACCTACACTTTCAATGAATTTCAAGAACTATTAATGTTACATTGTTATGGGGCAGGTATAAAAGCTACTTTAAGAATTAAGATTTGCAGTATTCAATGCTTTTGAGTGCTGAGAATTTTTTAGATGAATTCTGTTTATCTGATAAATGCCTTTGAATTTCAAAGGGAATTATATCTTCACCTAAGCTTGTCTGAAATACTGAAATTTCGTGAATGTTAGAATAGATAATTAATAGGAAAAGTCAGCAATACATTCATTGCTTTCTTACTAGTTAAAAGCTTTGCTTTACCAGTTTCTATTTTACATGACTCCTACAGATATTAAAAGTTGGGGTTTTCTTTCTGAAAAACACATTTTTTTGATTACACTAGTCTTTTGGTATGTTATCAAATCCTCTGCTACTTTAATGTTGATTATTAGCAGTAGGCTTTCTTTTGTATGTCAGATTGATAACTTTCAAATGTGACTTTTTAGGTAGCAGACAATGCTTTTCTGGCTGCCCCATGTTGCTTTGAATTAACTTTAAATCAAGGACCTGAGGAAGGCTGCCCTTACAAAACTAACCACTGATGAAGCTACCATTGATTAACTGTTAGGCTTTCATTGATTGCATGGTTACAGTTACACAGAAAGATTTCAAACTTTATTTGTGTAGTATTCCTAAATCATAAAAGAGCATTTTGTGTATTGTATGCATTATGGTGTGAATGTCAAATGTAAATCAAAAAGAAAGAAGAATATTTTTCCCTTAAAGTACCAAGAGCTTTTATATACGTTATTCTTGATTTGCTAACATAAGGGTTTCTTAAACTATTCTCTTAAATAAATAAATATGTAGGTTTAGGTTTTCCAACATTATAATGGGAAGTGGCTGTTGCTGCTATTATTCCATTTTACAAATAACTGTAAATTCCACTGTAAATAACAGTGAAATAATGGCATTTTCCATCTGAGATTCTCAAAATAGGTCATCAGACACTTAAAACTTGTGAAGAATAGAATGACCCACAGTGAGGTTTGGCCATAGGAGGAGATAATCCCAGTTGGGTGTTGCTCTCCTGTGCCATCTGGAAGGCAAGTAGAAGATGCAAATACGTGCAGAAGAGTATGAGAAGACGTGTCCCATTTAGGTGAAGGTCACTCCTCTACAGTCCCTCCTATGAGAAGCAGTCTTTCTGAATCTCTTCCTATCTATAATGATTTATTTCATGTATGCCAGCTTACCTTTTTGAACACCTTAGTGTTGCAAAGCTGCAGTACTGCTGTGTTGGGAAGAGCAAGAGGTGACCTTTCATACCATTATTTTTGCAATTATCTAGTCAAGGTTAAGCTAAGGAGAGTCCCCTACTGTTCATGCCTCCCCTATCTAGGGTACCGATGGCTTTATCTGCACTTTTGAATGCAGGACATTATTTTTCTTGGCTATTTGATCCAGTTAATTATTTTGCAGCCTCCCAGCTATATCCTTGACTCTTCGTGAACTCATGTTCCAACTGAAGGCCAAGATTTTTCTTTCTAGGGGAGCAAAAAACGTTATGTCACTAATAAATGCAGGAGGCATACTAACTACTAACATATGCCCATAAAGAATAAGGTTACTATCCCATCTTGGATTAGCAAAACTGAACTTACTTCATGCCATTTCATTTCATTTTCTTCTTCACTTTCATTTAAAAAATTCTGCTTGCTTTTGGGGAAGGAGATTATTCCTATCCTTTGTCTTGTGGGAATAAGCAGAGCTCTCCAGTATGTCTGTTGCTTTGAATTAGATGTTATAGATAGACTACCTCATTAGTGCACTTTCCTAAGGGGACTCAAATATTTTAAGCTCTGTTCTGTTTTAAACACTCTTCTGTTCTGATCCTGTTCTGCTCTGACAAGTGAGCCTTAAAGCGAGCATAGCTGTACTGACTGCTTGGATTCTAGCCCTTCACTTCTGCAGGATTCAACACCATCTTCTACAGTATTAGTTGTGTCAGACTTTTATGATGTAAACTGAACTACAAACTGCCCAGAGAATTGCAGATGAGCGAGGCTCTGAGTGGTGTGATAGCAGCCTCCTTGAAAAATACGGGGTGCTCTTTCCCCCTCTCCAAATCCATATGTTCTTTATTTTTGTGTCGTCTTATTCTTGTTCTGTTAATGGCTTGCCCTCATTGAAGTTCCACCATTGAAGTCGTATGTACCACTAGCTACAAATACTGCAGTAACTTTTATAGTATTTTCTTTTTTATTGGCATCTGCTTTGCCTTCCTGCTTTTGCTTTTCAGAAGGTGGCCTGTTGTCCTGGGTTCAGCAGTAGCAGTCATTTTTCTCCTTCTTAGTAGCTGGTGCAGTGCTGTGGTTTTGACTGTGTTTTTTGTCCTGGCTGAACCCAGGACACCTGTTCTCAGAGTGCAGTGACATAGAGCCCTCAGCTGAACCTATGCTTGTTCCTGAATATAATGGAAACAATCGTTTGGCAATCTGGATGTGTGGGATTCAGTTTGGATTTATTTCTGAAGTAATTTCAGAAAGAGTAGCTTTGACCAGTATTTGATCATATTTCTGCTATTTGTGGGGATTATATTCCACTATGGCTTGCTTTGAAGTATGTTTTTCATTTTTCTGATCAGGCAGGGACATACAACTAGTTGCCAGAAAAGCAGTAGTCCTATTTAACAAATGAAAAATACATGTAATTAACAGTATTGTGGTACAGATGCCTGAGATCACATTGAGGTTATTTGGGGTTTTCAGTCTCTTTTCAGGGGTGATATGGATAGGGACATGCATTCAGGTAGACTGCTATGTGATGATAACCTGGATTCATAACTGGTAACAAAATGAGATGGTGCAGGTGGATCTATACTAGACATTAGTGCAACATACAGGAGTGAGAAAACATAGCTTACAGTTTTTCTTCTAGGAAAAGAAAGAAAAACAGTGAAGTTAGAAGGCAACAGATTCAGGTGTTGGAAGCTAAATAAATAATGAGCAGCTCTCAGCTGCATGGATTTTATTATTGAAAGAGCAGATTTAATATTATTGGGTTGACTTAAACCCTTTTATTTCATAATTTATGATAGAACTTAATAGCTAACACGTATAAAGAAGAGGTTGGCAGAGGTTTATGACTTTTAAAAACACTTAACATATTTTGGCAAATAGTGTGGAGCAACTATCATTTCAAATAATGAAGATACTTAAATAAGGTAATAGATTATTCCTGTTATCATTTTAGTGCCTGTATTTTGCTTAGTATAGTTGATACAAAATGACAATTTTATTATAATCTTCACAAAATTTTAGTGCTGTAATTTGTAGCATGGTTATAAACTTGTGACTGGGATAGAAAATAGATTACAGTATTTTTTGCCTGGAAGAAACTTTTAAAATCAAATAGAAGTGAGCCTGTTTATATGCATATAATTATGATCATTTTTTACAATCTTTTCTTTATATGAACATACTGGCTTTGGCAGATTGTTAATTCTGCTTTTAGGGTTTGCAATCAAATTTAAAGAAAATGTTTTTATTGAGGCTGTTATAATCTGAATCTGTTACTTGGGGGCCAGTGTCTCACTTCTTTTCTTCTCAAAGTAGTTACACTCCAGAGCTGAATTGTTAAACAGTACAAGAGATTTCTAAATAGATGAATAATTTTGTCATGAAGATACGTGTAGGAGAAGGCTTAAAATTGAGAGACTGTTCTTTACCATACGCACTTATGGAAGAGAGACATTAATTAT